CCATATGAATGCCCTGTGTAAGTTTTAATTTTAGGCATTTTAGGACTGAGAATTAGTTCCAAAAATGTTAGAATTCGTTCAAAATTTACAAAATGTATCATTTACTGTATTCAAGATAAACAAAATGTATTTATTGAGCCAAACACCGAATTGTAAGGATGTGACCAATTGTGAAATTTTAAAGACAAATCATCGTTATTAAGTGCATATATTATGTGAGAATGAGGGTACATTATATGTTAACGCTGTCACACTCTCTTAATAAAGGAATCCTGGGAAGATCAAAAGATGCAAAACCGTGGAAAAACTTTGACATGAGTTGAGGACAGAATTACCTTTTGCATGGCAAGTGCGACTGTCATTAAGCGTACAATATTTGAAAACATGTTTGATGGGTAACACACAGAAAAAATGATCGATTTAAATTTTGATTAGGGCAACCATTTACCCAATTTTCAATCTTAAAACTCTTAAATACATGTGACATTCAATGATCTACTAGCTGTCATAATAACTAACACGAAAACAAATAATTATGCAGATAATCTCCGTAAACTCAGACATTGGTGCATTTGAACAGTATTGCCGATTTCACTCCCAAATTGCGGGCTTAAATGGAAAACTCACAGGTTACAACCACTCTTACTCTGACTCGAAGTGTGTCTAACTACGATACAATTCCGTATCAATGTCACTTATTTCGAAACACCTCAATTCTTATATACCATGCAGTGCTGTTTTTGTTTTGTGTATAGTTTGTCAATCGTGGTCGTTTGTTTTGTGTATTTTGGCCGAGACTATTTATGGTACGTTGAATAATACTTTCTTGTTTCTTCTTTTATGTGCAATATAGTAATATTCTTAAGGTCTCACCTTTTCATGTATGAACACATTCAATGCCATTAGTGTCATGGATCTGAATCGATTCAGTATAGTTTCAGGATACCCGCATTTTGTTGAATCTAATTTATTGTGGACATCAAAGAAATATTTACTGAAAACACTTCTTGTCCGTGTTAAACCATTGATACGGATTCGCTCACGAAAGTCTACCAAATGTTGTGAGCTAGAAAAAATAATAGTTATTATAGAAACAATCATGCTATGATCTACTGTCAAACACTCCGACATAGATAATGCAATTTTAACGAATTTAAATTGATAAACAAAACCAGATTTTGATTCATTGATAATAATTATTTTTGCACCATGTAATAAATCCAATGACAGTTAATATTGTTACATACTTATATAATCCTGTTTTGAACCCAGTTGCTCGTAATATACACAAAAAGCAGACACAGAACCTTTGCCCTTTGTACCACTTACATGAATTATGTTCAATCCATCAACATCATCAAGCTAATAACGAAACAACAATGTAATCATCATCATCATTTTTAATTGACTATATTTTCAGTTTGAGTATAGGAAATTACATTTGAAATGCTTTGTGATCAAATGAGCATTTAATGATGTATTATGTGTGTTCAGAAAGCAATAATTTCAAACTTCACTTCTATTTGAAATAATGTATTGTGTTTTAGCTTTTTTGATGATTATTGCATTGTTGAATATTTTTATTGTAACTATTCAAAAGTCTGAATCAGATTCAAATTATATAGCTATAAAAAAGAGATTTTAATTGTTACATACTGAAATGTTAATAAAGCTCCTATTCAAAACTAAAAAATGAATTCCAAGTATGTTGGTACCTGATGTATTATTAATAACATCTTAATTTGAGCTAATGATATCATAAGAAATACACAGTAACAGGCACTTTGTATGTTGTAAATCAAATTATATAATTAAACAATACTTTTTCAAAATCAAATCTCACCAAATAATTGTTATTTGACATAACTACAAGCTTTCAATATGATACCACTCAAATGTTCTTGCCGAATTTCTGGAAAATGTATTGTATTATTAAAAACAAATTCTGGTTCATGTTTTACACCTGTCATTATAACAGATTGAATGTTGCGACCTTTCCCCAGCTCGTTCCAGAAGCTAATAAAAATGTAACTCTGCTAGTCAACTAACGATTATACACTTATTCAAAGTCTACATAAATTAAAACACTTTTGTTGTTGTTCGGCCCTTTTCCCTGCAATTACTTCATCTATTGTTTTATTCCGTGTAAGGAAACACTACTACACGTTTATTCGTGCAATGGCCTCGAGCACTGTTCAGCTACTCATAGTACCGATTCACCAACGACAATTTGGTGTTTCAATCGTGTGGTGTAACAATTAAACTAGTTCTCTGACAATTGTAGCTTGATTAACATGTTTAACACAGAGAAATTTACAATGGAGAATGCTTCATCTACCGGTCGGAGAGACAGGAAACGCCGGGCATCTTTAATAGTTAAGAAGACCACCGCTACAAGGATTTCTACTACGTGGCGAGGAAACTTTATGCAGAACATAGCTCCGTGCTAAATACAAGCATGAACCTAGTTTGAAGCGTTTCGTTCTAACTGCTATAAATATATTTTGTGGCCACTAACAATCTCGGGCAGTCGTCATAGTGTGGTAGGGAGTGCAACATTAGATATTATTCTATAAAGTAAAGACGTAATCAAACGTTACTAGGATAATGTAATCAAGATTTCCAACTTGAGTCACAAGAACAAATCAGACACATAGTGGCGCTAGTC